CCTTTCTTGAATACTAGTTTCGGAATTGTATTGAAGGTACATTTTCTGGGATTTTTATACAATTCCTAGATTTGATGCATTTCCGGTAACAGCCGTCTTTTAACCTATCACTGGGTGGGTAACCTATCAGTACTAATAATAGTTATTTTTTGCTTTTCAGTTTTGACTTTTTGGTTGTTATTAGCTTTTGGTTTTTGAAGTCGGTTTTTTAAACGCAGTTTTTATTTTATTATTTAATTACGCATAACTAGATGATAGGCATATCGTGATTCATGACGGACGAACAACATTAGTTATGCGTGGTTGAAGGACACGCCTAGGCCGCCTACCGCCCAGCACACATGTTGCGGCGTGCTGAGACTCCACTAAACTGTTAATTGTATTACACAGAGCGGTGATTCGGTACACTACACACTTGACAACTTAACCTTAGTTTGACTCTTCTGCTTTTGGCCCGCCATGGCTGACGGCTGCCTGCGTTTTATTACCATGGCCCGTGGGGGATATTTATGAGATAAACTTGAGCAACACACAAAATCCTCAGTATATATTTTTTTTTTGAGGTAATCATCTTTTTTTCTTTTTTTTTAAACGTTGCCCCACATTAGGAGTTTCTTCTGTGTCGTGGGTGCGTTTACAAACATACAAGTTCACATACACATGACACCCAGACCCGAAACAACAATTTGTGGATCACACAAAGTGTTGTTCCGTGCGGGAATCGAACCCGCAACACGTTGCACGGCAGCCGGTTGCCCAGTCACCGCACCAACCGTGCAGTCATCCAATAACTTCTCCCGCCCGGGTGAGGCGGGAGGGAGTGTCAGACTTACTGACTAAAAACCACCCCGTTCCTACTCCTGCACTTCGAGCCGGAGCCCCGGTAACCCGTTAAGTCTTCCGCGGCTCCGTAACCGTCCTCGGTACACGCGATAATATGAAATAACCATAGTATTTTTATTCTTAGACACAAGGCAAAGGATTTTAAAGATCGACAACGCTCTCATGGCGTCACAAGTTTGTTTGTGAGATAGGTATACAAAGGACTTATATAGATTTTATCATGGAAATCCCATGGGAACCGGAACACACTTTAAAATACCGGGACTCTCGATTCTCTCTTTTAAACCACTTAAGGTATTTGGGTGAAATTAGTTTATTAGTTCTAGGAATGGAATACCGTATAGGTACTGACCAACAGTCATTTGTCTTGTGTCTTTTTATTAGTGTATTGGCGACGTTTCCTTACAAAGAATATGCGGACATCAGGGTGGCTTACAGTGCCGCCAATGGTGTCGCTCGTGCAGTGCAACGCCTATAACAGGAACGCTTTCCTGGTCCTGGTAGACGATTACTTGGCCGCACATACCGACGCACACGCGAGACTAGCAATGTCACTTTTAATAAACCAAGGGGCCATATTTTTTAAAATCATTATTTTGAATATTAGCCTTGGGTGACTCGATTTACAATTTTCTAGCGGTCAAACAATCCCAACGACCAACTGTTGGTGAGGAAACCTGCCAGGCACGATCACCTCGCCTAGTCGAAAGATCTTGCTTTTCTTAGGGTACATTACTCTATATCCCTAAAAAGTCAACTCGACTTGAGGTATGCAAGAAAGAGATGGAAGCTAGATTTTACTGCGCAAGAGTGAAAAAACAAATTTTACTTCTTTCTCAAGTAAGAATCTTTACTATCTTTATCTTTACTAATATTATAAATTGGAAAGTGAGTTTGTTTGTTTGTTTGTTTGTTCCGCTTTCACGCCGTAACTACTAAACCGATTGCTTTGAATTTTTGCAGACGTAAAGTTAGAAGTTTGGATTAAATAATAGGGTACTTTTTATCCCGGAAAAATTGATATTCCCGAGGGAAAACAAAAGTATTGGTATAGATGGCGCTGTGTGTATTAATATGTCACATAGGCTACTTTTTATCCTTTTGTGACGCGAGCGAAGCCGCTGGTAAAAGCTAGTTACTCAATAAAAAAGTTTTTATTAGAATTTGCTAAGCAGTTTTATGTGACTTGATTTACCTACAACACCTACTCACGAATTCACAATGCTGTCAAAAGAATTTTAGGGCATGTGGCATAGCATTAGAAAAAGGATAGACTGGAAAATGAATGAGGAAGTTGGAAAATTCCGGTCGCTTTTGATTTGTTTTCTAGCCATATAAATAGCTGTAACATATACTTACAGGTTTTATTTAAGTTTTACCTTTGCGAGTGTTTTAAACCAAAACTAGGTGATCAATGTCACTAATTTTCTATTTAAAAGTAATTTTGAACCATAAACATCAAAACAAAATTCAGATCCTACACTTGTACTTTTTAAAATTAGTATTTCTGCCGTTCAGCCGTTGTATTACAAAACGCCCCTGATTTTCTAAACGGCTAGCCGTCATGTAATGCGGCGGATTATTCAATTCGCCTGCCACATCTAGATGAAGTGTCAGTTGACGGAAAGTTATTTTATTTATATTTTTATTGTAAGATAAACATTCCAAATCCATTGTTTACATCTTTACTAACTACATCTACAAGTCTATAGATATAATAAATCTGTAGAAAAGTAATTTTTGTACATTGTAGAAATTGACAACAAAATAGCCAGGGTGTTAAACGATAACTAACAGAACCCATTTCCATCATTTTTGAAATTATTGTCTGTTTATATGTTTGTTTGTGCGCGCATCACGTAAAATCTACGCATACAATGCACACATTGCTTAAATAAAAAAAAATCTACGCAACTTGAGGTATACTTAACTTACCTAGTTTTTGTTTCATCGAAATCGGTTTACTCTATCAGAAGATATGATTAATTTAGTGAGTTCAAGAAGTAAAATATTACAACACGCAATTCAGTTTAGTACTTGCAACGACACCTTAGACTAAAAATAGGACGTCGCGGAGAACCTAACGGGTAACCGGGGCTCCGGCTCGACGTGCAGGAGAAGGAACGGGGTGGTTTTTAGTCAGTAAGAGTCTGACACTCCCTTCCGCCTCACCCAGGCGGGAGCAGTCAATCCATGATTTTCCCCCCTTAAAAAGAAGACTAAAAATAGGACTAATGTTGATAGTTGAAATCTTTATCCGATAGATGGTGTTGTGCAGTAACGTCATTTTCTGAATGGCGGTGTTCAGATTTTCCGCGCGAGAATCACGTTCAACCGTGTTTCCTTTACCGATTGAATTTAGTTTGGAGTCTTAAAAGTTATTGAGTGTGTCGTTAAAGGTCTTTGGCTGATTGTAATATTGGTTTCGTTTGGTCATCGGTTTGAAGTCCGAACTTCCGAAGTAAAAAATAGTAAAAATACTACTTGATATAAAACAAGTAGAATAGGCATGAGATATACCTACCTGCATTATTCCATACCCGGGCTCTAAAGTATGGGTATGGCCGTAAGGCGTATACCTACCCAGTATTTAAAACCCAGTATCGAAATACCTATAGGTATTTTGAAATCTGGCCGCCTTAAGTTTAGAACGTCGTACGAACGACCTTTTTGTAACATATTTGAATGCAAGAAACCTACCAAAATCAGTCCAGTATACAAGTAGTTGTAGTTCTAGTATGTTGCTTTTTCAAATCACTGTATTTATAATAATTAAGTACTTAGTTTTTTTTTATTTATTAATTTTTTTTCTATTTTTATTTACTGTCATTTATTTTTTGTTTTGGTGCAGAAATAGCAGTTGCTACAAATTTCGACTACCAAGATGCGATCTCCGTGCAGTAAAATCACTTTAATCTTATTAACGTAAATAACTTTTTTACGGAAACAAGCTTAAACAATTCAAAATAAACACTCTTTATCATTATTACGCAATAAACTTCTAAATGCACGTAAAAATAAAGAACAAATTTGAATCCCCGCATGTGTATTCGGGAAGCGTCGTGACCGTTCGAGCTGCATTATGATTATGAACAACCGCACTGGGTATTAGTGAGTATGGCGTCAGACCCGGTCTATAGGGCCGTACTGTCAGTTCTGTCACAGTCGCCCAAAGAAACGAAGACGTCTAGACAGGGCAATCGTGCGGGGTGTAAAGGGCGAGTCGCGGGTAGGCCGATCCCTAGCTGCGAACAAAACGATGTTAGTACTCGGGATACATTATTCAGGGCTAACGCGTGTTTGTTTTTACCGACTTCATATAAAGGAGGAGGCACTATGTTCGAATGATTGTTTCTTTTGTAAGTAAAAAACCGACTTCAAAATACCAAAAACTAATAACAAACAAAAAGTCAAAACTAAAAAGCAAAAAATAACTTAGTAGTACTGATAGGTTAGAACTTTAGAAGGCGGCGCCATACCGTTGAGGAGTTCCCTTAACAATTACAATTCTTCATCATCAGACCCTTAATGACAGTCCCACTCTATCTAGGTGTAAAGTCCTCATCAATACAAATTAATCAAGCCCAAACACAAGGTAGGTAGTTAGCATAAACCGCTGAGGAGTTCTCTCGACTGTTTGTCGGCTCCATCATCAGGTCGACTCCAGACCCTTATCAAATTGAATTGTTTAAAAATCCTAATTGAAAAATATAATACACGTATTACTCGCCCTTATAATTTTCGAAAGTTCCCCTCGGTTTCCTTAGGATCCCAACATCAGTTCCTGACCACATGGAAATGGGACCATCTCGGGAGTATACCCTTTCAAACAAAACAAGAATTTTGGAAATCGGTTCACAGATGGCGGAGTACTGCGCGAACAAACAAAAAAAACAATCAGCCGAACGTAGTACCTCCTCCTTTTTTTTGAAGTCGGTAAAAACTAGAAAGGTCCTCCACATGGCAAGTGTCGCCAAGCTAAACCAGTCCAAACTTGCCGATCCGAGGCCAAGAATTGCCGATCTCCTTTAAGTATGGTATCACATCGTGTCTCATGCAGACAAAGTGACGAATGATGGCTAACATTATTATACAGGTGGCGTGGTGAGTGAGATGGCGGACGGCATGTGACATCACGGCGCCAGGCTAGCGGCGGCATGCCGGGCGGCCGCCGGGGGCTCGTGGCCCCGCAGAACACCTTCCTCGAGAACATCATCCGGCGCTCCTCCTCGCAGCGTGAGTGTCCCACACCGCGGCAGAGCTTGCTCCCCCCCTCGCGCCCCCGCCGCTCTAACCTGTGACCGCTTCTCTGCAGCAGACAGCAGCTTTCTGTTGGCCAACGCACAGATTGTGGACTATCCGATCGTGTACTGTAACGAGACTTTCTGCAAGATGAGCGGCTACAACCGAGCGGAGGTCATGCAGAAATCATGCAGGTGAACGTAATCATTGCTGCACTTACAATAACTAGACACCGAATATTTGAAATGGGTCAATTACTCAGTCATTTGGTCGAAATAATGGAGTTAGGCACCATCGGCCCTACAGTTAAAGCCTAAGTTCCACTGCGGGGAACCTTACATCGACCTTCATTCGACAAACTTATTAATATGCGTTTATTATATACGTTTGGTACAATCATTGTCTAGGGATCGAGCAGCACAATTAAGTTTAATGTTTAGTGTATTACTGGAAGCAAGTATAACAGCTCACACATAGTACCCACTTAGATTTTAGTCCAATTTCCGTGGTGCTTGGCGGCTGGGCTTCACCCAGTTGTACAGTCTCTTCTTTGTGCCTTTAGGCTTAATTCACTCTGTCTCCTGCAGTAATTCACCGAGGGAAGTGGAAACTATCGTTTTTTTCTTCTCCTCTTATAATATCTTCTGATTCACTTCGTTGCGGGAACCAAGACAGTTGTTCATGTCCCTGGTACGCGCCGGACTTCAGTGTTCCGGTGTTTTCATGGTTGTATCTACTGTAGATCCTGGCTTACAGGAGTTGCAGCGGTTTTAGGAGGTTGGCGAGTTGTTGGCGGGCTTGTCCCATTAAAAAAAAAGTACCAGCCTTTTGGGGATTAGGAATTTGAGGATATATAAGTATAATCGTACCAAATTACATTGTAATCGGACTGGTAGATTTTGCGTGATGCGTGATCATAAAGACAGACAGACAAAAATTATTCTAATCACATTTTTGGGTTAGTTGTCTATCTAGTGACATTTATCTTTATTTATCTTTTTAATATTATTAATGTACAGAATTTACACTTGTACAGTTTTATTACATGTATAATGATGTATAGATATGTACATGTAGATATCTCCTTTCAGGCGCATTTTACGACAAGAACATTTACTAGAAAATTAAATCAGACGCAATCTAAAAAGTCTAAAAATATTTTTTTGCAAATCAATATGATTGGCGCAAGAGTACCGCCTAATACATTACAATGTGCGTTTAAAAACAAAACTATTTTATTTTATTGGAGACTTGGGTGCCGATCAAGATGTCGCAGACCGAAATTTCGTCCAGATTTTCTGCAATGTGATTTGTAGGACTCATCACTAGCTCCGCAGTACAATATTCGGTCAGTTAATAATTTCCAACAACAGATGGTGTAACAAATAGTGTGGTGCGCACAGGTGCACGTGGATGTACGGCGAGCTGACGGAGAAGGAGGCGGTGGAGCGAGTGGACCGCGCCCTCGACCATCACCTCGCTGACCAGTTTGAAATCCTGCTGTACAAGAAGAACCGTACGTAATGCGGCGAGCGCAGGCGGTGCGCGCCTGGCCGCGGCTGACGTGACGTCCCGTGTTGCAGGCACGCCGCTATGGCTGCTGGTCCACGTGGCGCCCATCCGCAACGAGCGCGAGCTGGTGGTGCTGTTCCTGCTCACGTTCCGGGACATCACGGCACTCAAGCAGCCGATCGACGCAGACGACCCCAAAGGAGGCCAGTACTGCGCGTTTCAGCCGGCGACTCGCCCCGACCGCTGCGTAACCGAGTGTGTCTGTCGACAGGGCTGTCCAAGTTCGCGAAGCTGGCGCGCTCGGTGACGCGGTCGCGGTCCGTGCTGGTGTCGGCGCTGCCGGCGCTGAAGGAGCCGCAGCGCGCGAGCCACCTGGCGCATGTCAGTACTCCCGCCCACCATGTAATGCACTCTACACTACGCCGCACCGCTGCCGCGAGCTACTTCCGCGATACGAGTTACTGTAACACTCGGTCCCGCGACCCGCGCATGGCTTGCTGAGCTAGTCGTGGCGCGGGTCGAGGCTGAGACGATCGCGTGTCGCAGGTGATGTCGCTGTCGGGCGACGTTCTGCCGCAGTACCGGCAGGAGGCGCCCAAGACGCCGCCGCACATCCTGCTCCACTACTGCGCATTCAAGGCCATCTGGGATTGGATCATCCTCTGCCTCACCTTCTATACGGCCATCATGGTGCCCTACAACGTGGCCTTCAAGAACAAGACGAGCGAAGACGTGTCGCTGCTGGTGATCGACTCCATCGTGGACGTCGTCTTCTTCATCGACATAGTGCTAAACTTCCACACCACCTTCGTGGGCCCCGGCGGCGAGGTGGTCAGCGACCCGAAGGTCATCCGTAAGAATTACTTCAAGTCGTGGTTCCTGATCGACCTGCTGTCGTGTCTTCCGTACGACGTGTTCAACGCGTTCGACCACGACGAGGACGTGAGTAGCGGGGCCGGGGGGGACATCGCCCCGGCCGGCCCCCGACTGACGCTGGCTGTCCGCAGGGTATCGGCAGCCTGTTCAGCGCGCTGAAGGTGGTGCGCCTGCTCCGCCTGGGCCGCGTGGTGCGCAAGTTGGACCGGTACCTGGAGTACGGCGCCGCCATGTTGATCCTGTTGCTCTGCTTCTACATGCTGGTGGCGCACTGGCTCGCCTGCGTCTGGTACAGCATCGGCCGCTCCGATGCCGACTCGGGCCTGCAGTACTCGTGGCTGTGGAAGCTCGCCAACGTGACTCAGAGCCCGTACTCGTACGTGTGGTCCAACGAATCCGACGGGCCCGAACTCGTCAACGGCCCGTCGCGCAAGACCATGTACGTGACCGCGCTCTACTTCACCATGACCTGCATGACCTCCGTGGGCTTCGGCAACGTCGCCGCCGAGACCGATAACGAGAAGATCTTCACCATCTGCATGATGATAGTGGCAGGTGCCGGAATTCTTCTGTTATTAGCCGGAGCACGGCGCGACCCCCGCGCAGCCGCTGCGGCGGGGGCCGCGCCCTCCCCACTCGTCCCCTCTATCCCCACTCGCCCCCTCTCCCCCTGGACCCCGCACTCGAGTGTGTGTTGCCCCCACACCCCTCGTCCCGTATCCGTCCAGTCCATGTATAGTTTTGTTTGTGTTGAGTTGTCTGTCCTCGTCCGTCCCGAGTCCCCGTGCAGGCCCACGAAGCGTCACGGCGCGTCACATACGTGGTGCGAGCGTCTCGTACGTACGTCAAGTGCGGGCTACTCTATTAATACACAGACATAATGTCTAACGCCATGAAATTGCTCTAGTATTCTCGCCTGGCGTCGTACGTGACGCTCTCTGTGTTGTGTTGGTTTGGACCACTCGAAACGGTGTCATGAATACTTATTAAACTTTGACGATGCATTTTTCTTCCAAAATTTTAGTTAAGTCTCAGTTTAACTATATACAGACTACTAATGATAACAACTTTCTTTTTTTCTTTCTTTTTTTTAAAAAAGAAAAGAAAGAAAAAAAAGAACTTGATATTTGAACTAGACTGGTCGTAGTCACAAGTAGACGACTGACGGACAGTCGTGCTGGGGACCACGAACAGTGTTAACCCCGTTGTGATGTAGTCCCGGCTATCTATAGAAGGGCTCGTTGAGTTTTGTGCTATCATCTGTGAGATGACGTAGATAAAGTAGTACCTAAGTATTTTTCGGGCCCGAAGATCGTACTAATCGTACTGTTCCCACGTCCTAGATAAACTGTAATGTAACAATTGATTTGATTGCAAAGTATTGCCAAAGTAACGCGTGAGCGGCGCGGGCTCACCGCGAAGCGTTGCAATGTTGCCAGCCCTGCTGTACGCCACCATATTCGGCCACGTCACCACCATCATCCAGCAGATGACCTCCGCCACGGCCAAGTACCACGACATGCTGAACAACGTGCGCGAGTTCATGAAGCTGCACGAGGTGCCCAAGGCGCTGAGCGAGCGCGTCATGGACTACGTGGTGTCCACGTGGGCCATGACCAAGGGACTGGACACCGACAAGGTAAGGCTCGGCCCGCGGCCCGGCCCGGCCGGCCCCGGCCTGCCCGCCCGGCCGGCCCCGGCCTGCCCGCCCGGCCCGGCCCGGCTGACGGCGTGCGTGCGCAGGTGCTGAACTACTGCCCCAAGGACATGAAGGCGGACATCTGCGTGCACCTGAACCGCAAGGTGTTCAACGAGCACCCCGCGTTCCGCCTGGCGTCGGACGGCTGCCTGCGCGCGCTGGCCATGCACTTCCAGATGTCGCACTCGGCGCCCGGCGACCTGCTGTACCACACGGGCGAGTCCATCGACTCGCTCTGCTTCATCGTCACGGGCAGCCTCGAGGTCATCCAGGACGATGAGGTCGTCGCTATTCTCGGTATGTGTAGTCCCGTCTTCCGCTTTACCTATCCCGAGTTACCTGGACTCGGCTTCGATATACAAGGTGTTTGGCGCATGGACGGACACAATTTTTTTAGGGATTTGAGAGGACACTGGCTACCATTTACCCATAAACTGTTCGTCTCAAATGTCACAGTTAGCAGACACGGGATCCACACGAGTCGCAATTATTTTTTATAACTATAGCGGGCTGCGGTTGGGAACCTGATTTACAAGGCAGCGAGCAAAATAAATGCGTGTACCCGACTATATAGTCGCCTAGCGCGTAGGTAACGATGTTTATGTATGTCATCTCGTCAATGAATCATATTTGTTTAGTCCTTTTAAAATTTAAATTGAATGAAAAACCTTTTTCGATATCGATATGCAATCTAGACGTGTATACGTTTTTATGGCATAAGCCGGTAAACGAGCTGACGGATCACCTGATGGTAAGCAATCGCTCATGGATGCTTGAAACACCAAGGCTTTACAAGTGCGTTACCGGCTTTTTCGGAATTAGGAGTTTGAGGGTCGTTGGGGATTCGACGACACACAACGCAAGCGTTGCTTCACGTCGGTTTTCTGTGAGGCCGTGGTATCACTCCGGTCGAGCCGGCCCATTCGTGCCGAAGCATGGCTCTCCCACACTTAAACACACGTTCAGCTCAATCGTTTCAAGATAATAGTTCTCCTGTAAAATTCAATTGCAAGATTGCTCTTCACCCTAACATACAAACATAACATACATTTTGACATTATATACATATATTGCAAGTTATTAAACTGTCAAACACCAAGCGGTCACCGCTGACCGCAACCTATTGTTCTTTAATTGTGTCTCTAAATACGATACTCGACGAGTTAAAAGCTTGTAAAAATGTATCCCCGCACGACACTACGATGTTCTCCCGCGTCGTTGCTGCACCATCTCATACATCATAATCAAAGTCAAATTATCTACCAATAATGCATTTTTGAAAGTCACACTAAATATTTAACAGACAAGTTCGGCAGGCGGTAAAAAGAGCTATCGTATGTATAAGAACGGACAGAAACGTTCAGACGTCAGACTCTCACACTCGCAGGCAAGGGCGACGTGTTCGGCGACTCGTTCTGGAAGGACAGCGCCGTCGGCCAGTCCGCCGCCAACGTCCGCGCGCTCACCTACTGCGACCTGCACACCATCAAGCGCGACCGACTGCTGGAGGTGCTGGACTTCTACCAGGCCTTCGCCAACAGCTTCGCGCGCAACCTCACCCTCACATACAACCTGCGCCACCGACTTATCTTCCGCAAGGTGGCCGACGTGCGCCGCGAGCGCGAGCTCATGGAGCGCCGCAAGCGCGAGCCTCAGCTCGAGCAGGCGCAGGACCATCTCGTGCGCAAGATCTTCTCGCGCTTCCGCCGCGAGCGCAGCGTCGCCGCCGCGCCCGCCCCGGCGCCGCGCCCCGCGCCCGCCGCGCCCGCGCCCGACCCCGAGCGCGGCGACCCCGCGCCCTCCGCCGCGCCCCCGGCCGCGCCCGCGGCGGCGCGCGGCAAGTGGGGCCGCCTGCTGGCCACCGGGTCGCTGGACGCGGGCGGCGCGGCCGAGCCGCCGCGGGGCGCCTTCACGCGCAGTCTCAGCGCGCGCGACCGCCCGCCCGCCGCGCCCGACGCCGCGCCGCCCGCCGCGCCCGCGCCCGCGCCCGCGCTCCCAGCGGCGTCGGCGCTTTCGCTCAAGGTGCTCGAGGCTTCGCCTCACCCTCCCGAATCTTCTTGGAATGAAAATTCATTCTGCTTGTTTTTTTCCTTTTACCCATTAATCCATCCAAGGGCAAGATGCCATAAGTAGGTACATTGATTTTACAAGTTGTATCAAGATATCTCACATTGTATCATTGCCAGGTGCGCATTGTAATGCTCGGTTCTACTCCTTCACTGATGTAATGCTCAGATCTGTAACGTTACATTTGACACGAATGCTCCCGGTGAGGGAGCACCTTGACATGACGTGTGACGACGTTAGTGATGCCCATGGCAGGCCACGTTCGCCAAGGGGCGCAGCGCCAGCGGCGCCAGCTCGCGCCAAGACACCATCGAGGAGGAGCTAGAGGAGCGCCGCCCGGCCGCCGCGCCCCCGCCCCCGCAGCCCGCGCCCCCGCAGGCGGCGCCCCCGCCCCCGCAGGCCACGCCCCCCGCGCCCCTGCCTTCCTTGCAGGCGGCGCACGCGTCTCACGACGCGGCACTGGCCGAGCTGCGCCGGGACGTACGTAACGAGGTGCAGAGACTGCAACAGAAGGTTAGTAAGTAGAATAAGGTAAGCTGAATGAGGTTCGTGATTCAAATACAGTTAATCATTAAACTTAGCATTAAAGTGTCAGGAAAGACAAATTTTTAGACAAAATAAAACTCAATAGTTTACAAATGATAGGCATGCATTACATATTTGACTTTTTTACAACTGACTAGTCCGGCACAGCTCGAATAAATAAAAACATACTTATGTATTTCGTTCCAACCTTACAGTTGGGTCGGGTCGAGGAGTTGCTGACAATGTTGGCGACGCGACTGGGCGCCGAGCCCGACGGCGCGGCGCACTCCACTCCCACCGAGCCGGACCGGCTCGACGTCCGGCCCGACGCGCGGCCCGCCGACGCGGCCCGGAAGCGGCGCTCCAAGGTCGGCCTCACACTGTCGGCGCCCTACTAGCGCGGCACCCTACTAGCGCGGCGCCCTACTAGCGCGGCGCCCTACTAGCGCGGCGCCCTACTAGCGCGGCGCCCTACTAGCGCGGCGCCCTACTAGCGCGGCGCCCTACTAGCGCGGCGCTCGTACTAACCCGCGAATGTTCTGTCCACAGGCGCGCAGCAAGGGCGCCGCGCCCACGCCGCCCGCCACCACCCCGCCGGAGGGCGCGGCGGGCGCGGCGGGCGGGGCGGGCGGGGCGGCCCCGGCGGCCCCGGCGGGCCCCGCCAGCCCGGGCGCCAGCGCGTCGCAGCGGCGGCGGGAGTTCGTGTAGCGCGCGGCGGCGCCCGGCGCGCGGCCGCAGTAACCGCGCGCGGGCGCCGGGGCTCGCACTGTACATACATACATACTACTAGACATACTGATACATGTAGGTAGCTGTAGCTCCACGCGCTACAAGTAGACACGCAGCGCTCGGCTTGTGGACACGGGACTATACAGTAACATACTCTCGCGGTCTGTGGAGGGCGCGGTGACAGCTCTACTCGGTCTCGCGGGTGTCTCCACGTCTCTGATATATTGTTCATTGCTTGCAAGCGTGACTGCTGACAATGAGTCTAGATTCTAGGGTCTCTAGGTCCGGGCGAAATACTTTTTGAGTGCCTTTAAATTTAAAGTGATGCAACTAATCTTGAAGTAGGGGAGTAGATAGGTACTCTTCTAGTATTCTCTACTAGAATCAGGCGGACAGTGTCACCGTCGCAATGGCGTCATGATAAGGACGAATCTGTGTGTTTATTAATGATCCGTATCAGTTAAATCATCAGTGAGGTGCCTACCACTGTAGGAATTTGTGTTCGGGAAGACAAATATCCTAATCATAAAATTTGCTTTTGGTACCTACCTACCTAATTTACATGCTTAACTTTAACTGCCTACGACCGTTATTAAACTAAGGACAAAACTGATTTCAATATAAAAGAAACATGTCTTTATTTGGAATATTAAATCTAACCAAAACCAGGACAGACAGGACAGTGGGTGGATGTGTTTACATTCATCGAACAATCCAAAGTTTCCAACGTCTCGCAAACAATCAAGCGAGCGTTCGTTGGTTGATCCGCTGATGGAGGACGCTGGTCACTGTTACAGCATCATGTATTACGTTGGTAGATATAGCTAAGTAAGTTATTAGATATCTTTAATGATTTATCGGTGCTTACTTAGATTAAGCCTGGTGACGAAGTGATAAATATCAAATATGAGATATTTAATGAATTAGGTTTATTTTTCACGAAAAGTATGTATCAGGTAGCTACGTGCGTTAGTTAGCTAGCTAGGTATGTGACTACCCACAGCTACCAATGTATACTATTTAAATGAAATGTATTGACATGATGTCTACACAAGTATACAGTTACCTGGTTTGTAGCGAGCGTCTCTTGGCGCCCCCGAACAGAGCCTCCTAGCGCCTCGCACCAGTAAAGACGCCCCAGCTCGTAACTTAATGAACGTAGGTGACAAATAATAATAGTGAAGTAATTTCAATAACGAGTAAGTACTCAGGTTTCAGTAAATTATTTATTTGTTCGTGTAATGATATTTACCCGACTGGCTTTAATAGAATAGGGATGATGACAGGGTATGAAAATTAAAAATCTATTTAATCCGCCAGTCACCTAATGAAAAAACTGGATGCGTATTTTTTTTATTTCTCGTATAACAAAACAATATGTAGGTAGTTAAAAGTATATATAAAGTCTGTTTAAAAAAAACAGACTTCAAGGCTCCTTTTTTGTTTACCAAACCTAAATCCTGCCCCTCCCTAAATACACCTATTAAATAATTTGAAAGCTGCATTAAAGTCGGTCCGGCACTCCGGCCAAATGCGAGGTAATCGCTAACAAACACGCATACATAAATATAGCTCAAACTGAGAACCTCCTTCTTTCGGTTACAACTTATGTTACAACGTATGTTACAACCATGTTACCACGTACGTTACAACCTGTTACAACGTATGTTACAACCTGTTGCAACGTATGTTACAACCATGTTACCACGTACGTTACAACCTGTTACAACGTATGTTACAACCTGTTGCAACGTATGTTACAACGATGTTACCACGTACGTTACAACCTGTAACAACATATGTTACAACCATGTTATAACGTATTACTAGGAGAGAGAGGATGCTACGTCGACACCGCTCACTACACACCAATGTAGTCAATCGTGACGTCACGCGATATTTCAAATTATTTTTGATTTTAGAGACTTTATAAGGTCGAAGATATTTCATTTCCATAACAAATACAAAAAAGTAAGTACGTGTCTTATGTTCTAAAGTAGATGACTACCAGGCGGACATTGAAACAAAATGTAGTCAACATCCATTGTGCATCGAACGCACGGGTCGGACTCCTAGGTCGGCCAACTAAATCTCTATATTTCATTTAATCTAGAAATACTTACCTACTAATAGGTGTCTACTTAATTATTATACATCGACCTGATTTTTATACGACTAGGCTGTCTATTTTTAAATTGTATACACCGTTTGGCATACCTGTATATAGACATAACATCACCTTTTTTTATTCGTTGAGAATTCTCAAGGAATAAAAAAGCTGATGTTGTGTCACGTGCATTTGCGCCTACTAAGGTCAGCCATAGACGGGCGAATGAAACCGCCGTTGTATAGTTGGTCAGTACATAAAGCTCGCCCGTAGGTGATTGGAACACCGCGGTATTACAACGAGCCCGGCTCGTAGCTGGTTATTTGTTGTATTGCTCGGCCGCTGCGCAAGACCAGGTGTCGATTACAACAGACGAGCCAAGTTTTCTGCGATAGTTTTTTTTCTTCTTTAAACCTAAACTTTACTTATCGTTTTTTTGTGGTTCACACTCGACTGTTTAGCTCACTAGTCAATCAGCACCTACGCGCCGCACGTCCGCGTGTACCTTGGTCTCCAAAAGCTCGCCCGTCGTACTTACGATAGCTCCATAGCTCGCAACGACCTGTGGGACCCACGCGGCTACGGCCACAGTGCATTGGTCACTTTTGTTAATGATAAGTGGTAGTTATCGTTTGGTTGCTGTACCTACTAAACGGATACAAAAAGATGATGAAAATGAAACAAATAAAGGGGAATGCTATAAACCAATTTAAACACCTGACGGCCGGGGCATCAGGATATCGCGCGTGTTATATTTATTTTATTATAGTAGGTACCTACGTATACCTACCACTGCTCATATTTTTATGGAATATATAGTTCAGTAATTATGTAGTTCTACCTGGAATGTTTTTTGACATGAGTTTTGATAATAATCGGCAATTTTGTCGATTTTGATGTTCTCTTTTCGATTTCCATTTAATTTTCACATCTTTGTACGTGCGCCGCTCGGGGTTTCATTAGACCCTAGAGTACCGATCGAGACCTCGCAGATCAAAATTTCGGCCGGTTTATCTGCACTTCTGTATATTCATTGCAAGCATTTTCGTTCAAAAATAACGACTGTGACATATCGATGGATGCCCAAGATGAAATCTCCTATGTGCAGTTCATCAGAAACAGCTACGGGCCGGAGATTGTGGCAAGTTCCTAAAGTATGTACTCACACGAACATTACACTTAAAAGACTACACTATAAAAAAAACGCACCGCTTTCTCTACTTTCACGAGATGTGCAAATTATTTTTTCCCTAAATGCTCATAAAAATGCACTTTGCGGTGCTCTGGCGCCAAAACTACACTTATATTACAAACAAGCTGTCGAGACATAAATTTGTAGAAAATTGTGAGTACTTAAACTGTCAAACACCGAGCGGTCACGGGTGGCCGCAACCTATTGTTCTTAATTGTGTCTATAAATATGGTACCCGACGAGTTAATGTTGTACTTACTTAACGGTTTCCTCATAAAATGCACAGGAAAAAAGATATTGAAGAAAAACTGTTTTAGGTCCCCATTTTTCCAAGATGGCGGCGCAAGAGGCGCACGTACAAAATGGAAATCGAAAAGAGAACATCAAAATCTACAAAATTGCCGATAAAAAACTCTCGGACGACTTTCCAGGAACCTACATATTTCTTACTTAATTATTGAACTAATATGGCAAACGAGCAGACAGATCACTTGGCACCTCCGCAACAAAACAACAGAGGAGTTACAAATACATCTGCGATACCAGCGTTTGGGTCGCTATTGGTTAGAGGATTGGGGATTACAGAGCCAACCTCTCCAATACCCAATCCTGGATGGGAGGAATTGAACCTCCGGTAACCATACTCACACTGTTAACCACAACGTGAGCGTCGTTCCACCACGCTGGGTTTTCGTGAGACGGCGGTATCTTCTCTTCGTTCTATCGTCTTTTACCATCAGGCGAGATAATGGCCAAGCGTGTGACCTACGTGTTACTAATAAAAAAACATGATATGGCTTGGTTAAAAATTATTACCTAATTTAGTATAGGTAATAGAAAAAAAAAAAAAAAAAAAAAATAAAATTTGTTTATTGGCATACACAAGTTAGATTACATGTAGGCATGGAAGCAAACAGTATTTACATAAATACAGATACGGTAGAGGTGCCCGTGGGCCCCAAACTAGGCGCAGCCTGTATCTTGGTGGCCCAGTGGTAAAGGTTTTGACTAGTTGGTTCTCGCATCAAAGTTACAGTGCAACCATACAACATAAAATAGTGAACAGAAAAATAATACAAAAGTGATAAACAAATAATAAGCAAATTTTGAGTAAGAAATACAAGTGATTAGATAATCAGACAAATGCAGGTGGGTATAACAAAGCATGCAGACATGGTGAATAACGTATTTCATTATGCAACTTGATCACTGTAGGTAAACTTGTAAGAGCCAATCGCTCATTACCTTACTGTATTTGGAAAATAACATTAGAAACCATAAAAATAAATAAATAAAAATAACTAGGACTCAGATAAGGCAGTTAGTTACTGTATGTGTGTGTGTGTGTGTGTGTGAGGGTGTGTGTGTGTGTGTGTGTGTGTGTGAGGGTGCATGTGAGCTTACGT